TGGCGTAATGGACTCATTTTTAGTCCCATTTCCTTCGAAGCTCGGCCTGTGATTGTGTGTGCTGTTAATTTGTCTTTTAAACGAGGTAGAAAAATGAGATATTTCAAAGCTTGGTTGCTTAGATTAAGGCATGGATCAGGGCGACACTAACAGACACAGTTCAGAGCGAACAGTGGTTATAAATGCAACTACAGAAAAACGTTTGAGGGGCAAAAGCAGTTGGTGCGATTCAATCATGATTTTATCTTTGTCCAAGCCATGGGATCTATCTCATGCAGAATATCGTCTATGACAGTGGATTGAACTTATGCCTATATCAGTTGTAATGTCGGTGTAAAGACATCCAGAATGTGGAACAGTTCCTCGAAAGTCTTGTTGACTAATATCTGAATATATGAACCAGTAATTTAAACGTTAAGAGAACTTTTTGGGAGGCAAATGGTGCAATTTGTTTATTTACAACTATGGCTCCTATCCTCTGCAAACTGTTGAGAAATTTTCTGTTTGCGAATCGCTTAACCACTTTAAGTGTTTTACGGCTGCCTGTAAATGGACTGATACCCGCATAATTGCAAATCGCCATTAGATAGGCTTCAAATGTAATGGAATAATTTGATATGTGACTTATAAGGGTCATTGTGGCGCTAGAAAGTTCTAACGAGAGGAACTTGGGAAGTGTGGTGACGGGATCAATCTAAGTAACTGTTAATATTTGGTCAATCAGGCAAATATGGAAAGCCTTTTTCGGTACTTCTGGACACACTTTAACGGCATTGTTTCGATTCAGTGGAACTGTGCTGGAGTGAACAGTTTAGTTTCTCTGTTCGATTTTGATGGAATGGTAGAACTTTGCTGAACTGTTTGTGTTCCTACCTTCTTATGACTTCGGTAAATTGTAATGTTTATCAGGCTGTTGAAACAATACTGAAGTTGATCAAAATATAACGAAGATATTCATAGCAGTTGTCTGCAAGATATTAAATGGACTATCGGAAGCGACGTACGAGTGGAGAACGGCCTAAAGATTTTGACCGCTGGGCAGACACGACCAGATTTCGATACGAGGAACATGAGAACATTACATCAGTAAAAAGTAGAAAAGAACAACTGCATGTAGCACTGCTTGACGGTGCAGCGATTAAGAGCAATATTTAACTGTCATCGAATTGGCACATTGATGTCGATGCTATAGCATTCGAAGTAACCTGACGATCGCAGTAGTTCTTTAATTTTGAGCTTACCGGAAACGCGATATTTACTATCACCGGCGAGTGGTGGAAGCTTTGGAGCCGCGGTAGCAGTGGTTGATCATGTGGTCGGTGCGGTGGTCGTGTGGCTAGTTTAGCCAACAGTTCTAATATAGCTGTGCTTTGTTTTTATATTTCGTTAGTTTCCTTCTTCACGTTGTGTGTCACTTCGTTGTGCGGTGGTTT